TATATAGTATATTAATATATACAACTAAAATTACTAATAAAGATATGAGCAAGGCCTCACCTTAATACCAAAAAAAAGATAAAAATAAAATTCAATAAAGAAACTGAAGCAAAACCTCGCTTTTAAAAAAAATAAAAAAATAAAAAAAAAATATAAAATTTAATACATTGTTTATGAAATTTTGTATGTTCTGGCAAACTATTTTTTTCAAGTGCATTAATAGCAGTTGCTATTTGAAGAAAGAATAAAAAAATGGCAGCCATTGTTGTAGCTTTTGATTTAACTATTTTAATATTATTTTTAGCTAGTAACAATATTTTAGCTAAAATTTCTGCATTTGTCCAAAATTGCTGATTTCGTATAAAATTTCTTAAATCTGATATTAAAGCAAGATTATCATTCTCTAAAATCTAATTATGTATATACAATATAATTAATATTAAAGTTTGTAAATTAAATATAATATGTACTACATAATACTAATATATATTAAATAATTACCTGTTTAATACAAACTTCTAAATTAAAAACTAATTATACACAATCATATGCAGATGACCAGTATGAACAAACAGAACTCTTCAATCCACTTTTATTAATCATAAAACAGGTTATTTCATTATACAAAATTGCTCCAGATCGATGTGATGTATAAAAAAATGTTACAAAAGATTGATATTGTTGTAATACATTTTTTTCAAATAAAGTTTTATAAACAATATCATTACAAATTAACTGAACATGGTGTACAATACATCGAATTAGTAAAATAGCTAGATATTTTGCTAAAATATATTGTTTAGCAAGTGTCATAGCAGAGACAGTATCAGAAACTACAGCCCCAAACTTATTAGCACCAATATCTGTTAAAACCTTTTTTATTTTATCAGCTGTAAAAATTGCAGTATATGATTTGCTAAAAAAATCTTTAATTGAATGCATATATTGTTTTTTATTAGCTGTTATAATTATAAAAGCAAAATAAGAATAGCTATGATTACTTATCCACTCATCTAAAGCTAATAATAAATAAATATTAATTTATTAAAATATAATATAAAAAAATAAAGTTGGCACTCAAATTAAGTTATAACTTTAGTTAACTGAAATTGCACTTAACTAAAATTAGTTTCTAAAATTTAATTATCTTGCACATATTAGTTAACAATTTTAGGCAAATGTAATTTTGATTAACTAAAATTGTAATTCCAGTTACAATTAGAGATAAGTTACTATGCAGCTTATGCATTATATATTTCACTATACAGACTGTGCAAAATTTTTGAGTACTATAATTTTAATCAACTTGCATAATATTGCAGGCTGTACAGCCTGTCAATAGATTTAAAAAATATTTAATTTGTATATCCCTAATTACAACATATATAATTATATATTAATTAATTATAAATATTATCTAAAGTAAGATTATTTTTGTTTTAAAGCTCTTTTTTTATAGTGACTGTAATTCATGCTGTTTTAAAATTAAGCCAATCATTGCTTAAAGTTTTTTAGTCAGGTGGTTTGTATGAAATATATAAATTTTTACAAAAGTCCAAAAAAAATAAATGCTCAACAATCCAAAAAGGAATTTTACAACAGACAAAAAGCTATGTTAATGCTTTGTGATATAATTCTTCTTGTTCGAAATCTATTTTCTTCATAACTTAAAATTTACTATCAATTCATAGTTGTATACTAGTAATAATATCTCTTTCTGTTTTTCTTTTTTGATTTGACATAGAAAATTTTTATAAGAGTTCTTGCTTAATATTAAGTGAAACTTTTTTACAACTTAATACCAAATATGCATTTATATTTATATCAGATGTCTGTAGATTTTGTTCTTTACAATATGAACATTTCCAACCTCTGTGACCATCATTCATATTATTAATTTTATTAAAGTGATTATTTCAAAGTATGTTTCTTGGTCTGCTTTTTTTTTTGAATTTTCACTAATATGAGTATTATAATCTGAATCTTTAATAACCTCTGTTGTTAAATCAGTGATGTTAGGTTTAGGATCTTTTATTATTTTTTTTAATAAATGATTTTAAACTAAATGATTATTGTCAGTTTATCAAATAAATTTTTAAAAAGAAATTCTTGAAGATGACAATAAAAAATACTTAAATATAAAAAAAAAGGTTAAAAAAACAAAAAACAGGTTTTATAAAAAGATTAGTAATAGTAAAATTCTAATCTATTGAGAATTAACAGAAACGAAGTTTCTACTTATTTATATACAGATCAAGGTATTATTAATTAATTCACTCATAATCTAGATATAATAGTCAGGAGATTAATATATATATCCTAAAGAACTTGTAATTTATATTTAATTGTAGATAGCATACTGAAATACTGCAGATAGAATTCTATCAAGAATTATTTAACATTATTCTTTATATCCTATCCTTTTATTTTTAAGAAAAAGGCTATTGTTGATGTGTAAAAATATTTAAAAAGCATATAAATTAACTAAAAATTGTATGATAATATCATGGGACTAATCAAATAGGGATTTTATATATAAGTACTCATATTATAACATTCAATTAAGAGAAGTTTATTATTAAAAAGTTTATTGCATTATTTTTATAATAACAATTGGCTGTAAGTTTATATTTATATGTAATTATATTAAGTTATGCTTTCTATAATAATCAGATTACCAACTTTTTTGTACCTCAAAAGTAGAAAGTAAAGGCATAATTCAGTAATATGTATCACAGAGTACCATTATATTAAGAAAATCCCAAGTTTCTAATCAAAAATATAAGTTTGTAATATCTCAAAAATTCCATATATCTAACATTAAAAATTGTAATTTATAAGTAAAATTTTATGTTAAAAACTTTTACTTAGAGGTCAAAAGCTAGTTAACATAGTAAATTTTTTGTGTTATTGCTTTTTTTTACAATTTTTTATGTTTTTCATATTCATTTTGTTATATAAGATTTTTTAATTTTATTAGATCTAGTTAGGGTCAGAAGTAATCTTTAGCCCAGAATTTTTTTGCTATAAGGGTACTGTTACAATTAAGTAAAAGACTTTTAAACTATTATTAATAATTTAGTTCAGGATCATAAACATTAAAAGTTTAGTAACAACTAAAAAAACACAATCTTTATAAACACAAGAGACAAAGAACTAATTCAATATGCAAAAAAATGATTTATTTAAGTATATAAATCCAAAATATATTTCTAAAGTGTAACCAGTACAAGATTCAAATTCTACTAATTAGAAAACTATTTCTCTATATTTATACTATGTATTAGACTCAAATTAGCTATTATGCAAAATGTAATTACAATTTAACTATTAAAATATCATAATGATCATTAAAGTTTAATATATTAGTTTAATCATTACTTAATTACAAGATAAGCTATTATTATTTTTTTTTTTTTTTTTTTAAGGTGACCTTTTTGGTCTTTTGACTTTTATTAATCACTTATCGGTATTGTGGTTCAATGAACCACTACAGGAGAG